CAGGGTTTCGCCTTGTTGGCCAGGTTGTTCTCAAACTCCTGGTCTCAAGTTATCTGCCCACGTTGGGCTCCCAAAATACTGGAATTACAGGCATGGGCCACGGCGCCTGGCCTGATTTTTGTATGTTGATTTTGTACCCTGCCACTGTACTAAATTCATTTACCAGTTCTAAGAGTTTTTGGGTGGAGTCTCTACGATTTTCTAAATATAATATCATGTTATCTGCAAACAAGGATAATTTAATTTCTTCCTTTCCAATTTGGATGCCATTTCTTTCTTTATCTTACCTAATTGCTCTAGCTGGGATTCCAGTATGTATTGAATAAAGTGGTAAAAGTGGGTATCCTTGTCTTATTCCAGAACTTAGTGTAAAGCTTTCAGTTTTTCACCGTTCAGTATGATATTAGCAGTGGGCCTGTCATAGGTGCCCTTTATTGTGTTGAGTTATGTTCCTTCTATACCCAGTTTCTTGAGAGTTTTGATCATGAAGGAATGTTGAATTTTATCAAGTGCTGTTTTTTGGCATCTACTGAAATAATCATATGATTTTTGTTCTTTATTCTGTTGATGCAATATATCGCATTTATTGATTTGCATATGTTGAACCACCTTTTCATCCCTGGGATGAATCCCACTTGATCACAGTGGATGATATTTTTAATGTGTTGTCAAATTCTATTTACTAGCACTTTGTTGAGGATTTTTGCATTTATGTTCATTAGGGATATGGACCTGTAGTTTTCTTTTTTATTGTTTTGCTTTGTCTAGTTTTGGTATCAGCGAACAGTATGTCTTTTGTTTTCCCGTCAAATCATGAGTTGTAGAATTGACTCAATGTTATATTAGTTTTAGGGCAATTATAGTGAAAGAAAAGTATTCAATGGAGTTGAGGTTTTTGGTCAAAGAGTAGCTCAGGGGATCAACCATACAATCCATGCTGAGGGTCCTATGAGGGACTTTTTCTGCCAGGAAAAATGAAGGCATTACAGCATTAAAGTTATAATGGAAATGAGGGTGGGAGAGAAGTGAAAGAAGAAAAGTTTTTGATTTGAGAATATGATATTAGAATTTAAAATTTCAGAGGCTGAAAGGATTTAACTTGCAGCAAGTTATTAATATATTTTTTAATTTGCAGTGGTTTAAAGAGGTGTTTTTCTGTAATAGATGGAGTGAGCAAGGGAGAGAATGGATTTAGAAGTTTCTGCTGATTCGCCAAAAAAGCAGTGTCTGCTCCAAAGACCAACGTTCAGCTTCCTTTTATGGAACAATGTTTAGGTAGTGCAGAAAGCCACGATCATCCTGCCACAAACAGCTAGCTAGGTGACTTAAAGATGTATGCTTGCTGGGCACGGTGGCTCACGCCTGTAATCCCAGCACTTTGGGAGGCCGAGGCGGGTGGATCACGAGGTCAACAGATCGAGACCATCCTGGTCAACACGGTGAAACCCCGTCTCTACTAAAACTACAAAAAATTAGCTGGGCATGGTGGCGCGTGCCTGTAATCCCAGCTACTCAGGAGGCTGAGGCAGGAGAATTGCCTGAACCCAGGAGGCGGAGGTTGCGGTGAGCCGAGATCGCGCCATTGCACTCCAGCCTGGGTAATAAGAGCGAAACTCCGTCTCAAAAAAAAAAAAAAAAAGGATGTATGCTTTATGATGTTCCCCTCCCTGTGTCCATGTGTTCTCATTGTTCAACTCTCACTTATGAGTGAGAACATGCAGTGTTTGGTTTTCTGTTCCTGTGTTAGTTTTCTGAAAATGATGGTTTCAAGCTGCATCCATGTCCCTGCAAAGGACATGAACTCATCCTTTTTTACGGTTTTATAGTATTCCATGGTGTATGGTTTCCAGCTTCTTCCATGTCCCTGCAAGGACATGAACTCATTCTTTATTATGGCTACATAGTATTCCTTGGTGTATATCTGCCATGCCTATCAGGCGGGTGGGGGAGAAGGGCAAGGGGAGGGAGAGCATTAGGAAAAATACCTAATGCATGTGGGGCTTAAAATCTAGATGATGGGCTGATTGGTACAGCAAACCACCATGGCACATTGTATAACTATGTAACAAGCCTGCACATTCAGCACATGTATCCCAGAACTTAAAATAAAAATAAAAGATGCATGCTTTATGAAGTGGTCATAGGAGGAACAAGGATATGAAGAAAGATCTGATGTCACCCATCCCCATGTCTTCATCAAGTGCATGTCTTCGTCAAGTGATCAAGTACTAACATATTTAAAGCCTAACACGCGTGAGCTCTGCTGATATGAAGAGCAGTACCAGAGATAAATATAGAACAATGTAGCCACTAAAAGGTTTTGTGTGTGTGTGTGTGTGTGTGTGTGTGTGTGTGTGTGTGTGTGTGTTTCTAGTAATTTCATACCTTAACTATAACCTCCTAAGCAGATTGTGTTAGCATTGCTTTTTTGTAGATTTTTGTAGATTTTCATTTGACACTGAAGAGCTAGTTAATTGCTGTCGTATTGTCTTTGTTTGCCATGTTTAATATTTCTTTGCTCAGTTTATTCCTTCTTGTTAAGAAAACTGTACATTTCAGTAAGCCCTGAGGAGCTCACAAGCCAGCTTTTTAGTAGAGCTCTGGGCATAATTTTTTATGTTGCTTTAATAAAATGTTATGTTTATGGTCAAGTGAAATATACAGTGTGCTGTTACTTGAAACTACTTTTACCTCACTCATTCTAAGTTTTGCTTCAGCAGCTAATCTTCATAGACTTACTCTACTTAGATTTTCTTTTTAATTTGTAATTTGACAGTGGTCAATTGCCACATGATAAAATTATGTATTTATAAAATAGGAAAGGGGAATTTTTTAAGTTTCTTGGCGAGATTTGTCCAGAATGCCTTTGGTGGAATTTGGTCAATTAGTACAGCTTTGGACCTCAGACCAGGAGTGAGACTTCAGAGTCCAACTTCTGCTGCTTCTCATTGATATGTAGATAACTCTCTATGCTATAGTCACTGTCACCCAATAGAGGAATTGAAGGGCTAAAAAGCCCTAAAATGCTTTGAAATGTTATAGTTGTATAGTTGCTTTCATCTAGCCTGTTCCATGAAAACATTGCAAAAGCAGTGATCTTGCCTTGCAATCAAGCAGCATGATTAACGCTAACTTTAGAGAGAAGATGCAGTATCATTCATCTAGGCTCCAGCAGATCAAGTTAGTAAACATCTAGGATGATATCAAAGTTGGCAATAATTTAAAATCTACATTGCTGCATTCCCTTCCTCCTCACCCATCAGTTCCCTTGAACAACATTCTTTTTTTTTTTAATGTTTGTCATGTTATTTTAATTTATTAAAGTCTGGTTTCACACAGGAGGACTTAGCCTTACATGTTATAAGTCTGGATTGTCTATCCAAGCCCTTTTCTGGACTTAGCAAAGCTTAGGAATGGATACTGTGCTGAAAGCCTGTAAGTGTAGACACTACGTTCTACAGCAAGACATTAGCTCTCTACCCTATGAGGTGAATGACCTTATGAGTTAAGTGATGCGTCACCAATTCCCATGTTCCCTAAGTCCAGAGAGCCTCTTTCTTCCGAAGGATTCTCTGAAAAAGAGAAGGATTTTCATACAGAAAAGCAAAAAAAATCAGAAATTGAATCAAGATGGATGGAGTTATTTTGTAAGTATATGTTATTGTAATTGAGCTTAAGACCTAACCTGGACAAATCATTTGCAAAAGAAGAATAATAATTGCTCATGTCTCTTGTTTATATTAAGTTTTATATGTTGTTACTCTAAGCGTTTTGCCTGCATTAATTCATTTAACCCCATGATGTAGGTACTATTATCTTCACTTTACAAAAGGAAATAATAAGGCAGAGAAAATTTAAATAATTATCTCTTGGTCACATAAATTAAGTGCTGAAGCAAGGACTTAGAGCTTAAACTTTGAGGCTCTAGAGAGCTAAGACAACTTTTGAGTGAGATTACCAAATTATTGTTGATTGGTAATCTCTAAGAAATTATGAGGAAACGGGGATACAATGGAAGTTTAGAGATAAATGAATATAGTTCACATTTTTGTTGTTCAGCATTTTTTTAAGAAAATGTCTAAGCGGTGCTAAATATTTTAACAAATTGTTTTGGAAATATATAGATGGCAGCTTTATCAAATTTTCCAAAAAGACCTTTTTAGGGTTTTTAGTTGGCCATAAGCTATATGTGAGATGAAGTGGAATATTGCACACGACCATATCCACCTCCCAGAATTTAGGGAGTCGTAAAGCATTATGGCATCTAGAAAAAGGGAATCGATCATTCTCTGTAGACTGTTCAGGCCCTTTTGTGGTATTCTGTTTTGTCCTGAGGTCTGCATTTCAAGGGAAATATAGAAAAATTTGAACGTTTTGGTAGGTAGATTTTGAGAATCATAAAATGATTTAATTCAATCATTAGAATGGGTAAAGAACCGTGGACATTCCACCTAGAAAAGAGAGGACTTCAAGGAAGCCAAAAGAGGTGTCTTCAATACTTGTAGTACTGACACATGTGGGAAAGATTGCAGTTAGGTAAAATCAGAGTCAATGATTACAAGTTAGTGAAGGCAGATATTGGCTTGATGTAAGATGATCAGATCTTTCGGAGGTGGAACATGCTGCCTCAAAAGGTACTGAATTTTCTTTCACCAGAATGTGGACAGCCACTTGAAGGTGCACAGAAGATGGAGGTATAGACCAGATGGTTGGGCCACGTGTCAGTGAAGGCCTCTTCCAGCTCTGAGGCTCCATTTCTGTAGGAAATTTTCAATGGCAAAAACCACAATTACTTTTGTACCAACTTAAATGTTATTCTATGAATTGATTCAAGAGAAGCCACGGAGGTTCTGTGTGTAATCAAATATAGAAATAGTCTATCATGTCTTGGACTTAGTATTAGTCAAAGTAGTAAAAATAACAGGATGAACAGCCAAATAATATGTCATTTCAAAAAATCTGTGGGCATCTAATGACATGATTGGTGTTTAATCTTTCAGCGCTTTCTCCTGCTCAAGACACCCACACGAACATGGATCTCCCCCCAGTGTCAGAGCAGATCATGCAGACTTTGAGTGAACTTGCAAAATCGTTCCAGGATATGGCTGACCGCTGCTTGCTGGTCTTACATCTGGAAGTGAGGTATGTTACAGTCAAGCACAGGACCTTGCAATTTGAAGGCACTGTGGTTCATGAATCAATTGCTTATTTCTGGGGAGTATCACCATAATTTCTGGCTCATACTATTGAAATTAGCCCTTTTTACACTGAAAGTGATTTTTAGCCGTATTCAGTGACGACTTGAGCGCACAGTGTATTGTGAGTGTGATGATTCAGAGCTGGCATGGTCTATGAAATCAGGTCACCTGGATTGGAATGTCACTGTCAACTGGCGAGGTGGTCTTAGGTCAGTTAATTAACTTTACACACCAGTTTCCTTATTTTAAAAATGGAAATGGTAATTTCTAACTTGCAGAGATTTTATAAAATTAAATTAAATTAAATAATTTAAATTAAATAATAATTAGCACAATGCCAGCCACACAGTAAGTGCTCAAAATGTGGTAGCTTTGCTATTCTGGTGACTTTATTGTGATTGATATTTTTACTAAGGTGCTCTGCTAATCAAGAAGGGAGTCACATTTGAATAAGTAGAGGGAAACGTGTAAAAAAATTATACTAATATATTTTAGTTAACCCAGTATATCTAAAACAGCATTTCAGTAGGCAATCAACAGAAGCGATTGAGGTATTCAGCATTTTTTTTTTTTTTTGCACTACACTTTTGAAATCTGCACATCTTATACTTACAGCACATCGCAATTTGGACTGGTCACATTTTAAGTGCTTCGTAGCTACATGTGGCCAGTACTAGCATACTGGGCAGTTGCCAAGGATGGCTGGGGTTGACTAGGAATGGGATTTTTTTTTTAAGATAAAATGGTCAGAAGAAATGTGGCAAAGTAACAAGAATGATCCATCTGTACAAAGACCTAGAGGAAGGGAGTTTCAGACAGAGGTAGGCACACTCACAAAGGTCCTGAGACAAACTCAAGCTTGGAAGTTGTAAGAGCAGAGAGGAGGCTGATATGCTCGTAGGGTGATGAACAAGGTGGGTGGGGAGGACTGAAAGAATAAGGCAAAGGAGACAGGCTGGACCAGGGTCTTACAGACCAAGTGAATTGTTCAGATGTCATAGAAGCCATAGAACGGTTTTAAGAAAGGGAGTGATATCAATCAATTAACATTTTTTAAAGGTCACTCTGGCTCTTGTATGGAAAAGGGATTGCAGGAAAAAAGATGAATGGAAGCAGGGTGACCCATTGAAACCAACTCTGAGCATCAAGATGACAGAGGTGGATGTATGAGAAGTATAGGATTTGCGACATATGCTGAAGCTAATGAAGTTTGTCAATAGACTGTATTGGACACGGGCTGGTACGGTGAGAGGAAAGACTCAAGGAAAGCAACTAGTTTGGGCCAGAGCTACTGTGTGGATGCTAGGGCCATTAACTAAGGGGAGAAAGACTGAGGGAGGAGAAAAGGAGAAAGGTGGAAATCAAGAATGCCATTTAGAGATGTTCAGTTTGAGATGCTTATTGAACAACTAGGTAGCGATGTCAAAACTTCAAGGTCAGAAAGTGAATGATGTGGTAATAATTCTGTTCTGAATTGCTTTGGAACATGATTAACATTGATAAAATATTTTCTTTTCATTCAGCATCTATATGAGATTTAGGTTTTAAAAATGTAAATAGGACTTTGTTTGATAGGTGACCCCTGGGAATATGTTTGGACTCCAGTTAAACTTGGGTTTCTTCCCAGGGTGACTCCTTGTGTGTGCGTACCATTGCCCAGTGAGTTACTCCTTACTGCTTGTGAGAACCTTGTGAATGGAACGCAGAAGTAACATTGCAGCTTTAGAATCTACGTTACTCAGCATTATTCCTGATGTTATTTCTCACATTAAGCTGTCCAGAAATAAAGCTCTTTCTGTATATTTTCTGATTTGTTTTATAATAACTTTCAGATTTGGTGTCTATTTATTTACAAGTGGACAGTGAAATAAATCAGGTGTTTTCTATGAATAAATATATCCAATAGATGGAAGGAAATGAAAAACGCCAAGTAATATTTTAATACCGCTGTTGCCTGAGTTACAAAGGAAAACAAGGGAATGCCAAATTAATTACTATCACAACTCCTGGAACTTATGCTATTGATCGTCTACTTATATGTGTTCTACATGTGTAGTTAATTCCAAGTGGAATGTTTGCAACATATTTGAGTAAGATCATTTAAATCCTTAACCCCTATTCTGCCCTTTTGATACACCTTGGCAATGCTCATCTTAATGCTGAACATGCCTTAGTCATTAATTTACAAGAAACTATACAGTGCTATAACACCAGTTGCTGTATCTTCTTCAATATTAGTCTAAAAGCAGAAAAATGTCATTTTTAAGAATAAATAACAAAAAAAAAAAAGACTGAATTTTAGAGCCCTGGATGTAGAAATTACCTTTTCTTGAATTTAACTCAGAACACAAAACATGGGGTTTTTTTTAATTAAATTTCCTCACTTGCTCTATAACATGCTTCCAACACTCAGGCTGCTTTCTTGTGAGTATGCTCCATCTTGTCTGTTCCTTTTAAAGTACAGTACATAAAACTAGCAGAATATACCACGTAAGGCTCAGACAGTCAATGTAGACACACTTACTCTGTCCTGGTCATGTCAACAATTTTGTTTTCAGTTTGCACAGTGACAATACAAAATGAATGAGACAGGTTTCATGCCAATGTAGTATAATAACTCTAGAATACAGGTGTTTGCTGAGTGCTCTGGGTGCATGACTACAGAAGAGACCATCAAGCGGCCCTTCCAGGTGTGCCTTGTTCATTGCTATGGCTGGCCCCAAAACCTAATATATCCTGCTGTATATTAGGTGCTCATTAAAAATGTGATTAAGAATTACCTGGTTTGAAACCAAACCCAGATAAAATAAGTGCTACTTTCCCAAACAAAACCTGTTGTCTTTGAAGAAAACAAATTGGTTTGCA